GGAGGAGAGTGGGAAGAAGGCAGAGGTGTGGGAAGGAACGGCGCAGATCTAGGAGGAAGGGAGAACGAGAGAAGGTGGTGGCGAACCGAGGAGGGAGATGGAGAAGCTGAGTGGCGAGAGGAGGAGGGGGAGAAGCTGGTGGGAGAAAGAGGAAGGGGAGGGAACGTATGGTGGACGGAGGAGGGGGAAGGAGGTCTTGTTGGAGGAGGGGGAGATAGCTAGTGGACAGAGGAAGGAAGAGAGCAGGTGCGTGGAGGAGGAGGCATGGCCGAAGAAGCTGTGCTGGTGTGCTGTGTAGAGAGGGGGTGAGAATTGTAGGGAGAAGAGAGAGCGGTGGAAGGAGGAGGGATGGTAGAAGCGAAGCTCGGTAGTAGGCAGGGAGGGACGGGAGAAGGGGGAGAAGCGATAGGAGTGTTGGGACGGAGGAGAGGAGAGAGCTGGTCTAAGCGGAGCGAGGGAGAAGCTTGTCGTAGTCTTCCTCCTTCTCACCAGCTTACTCCTCCTTTCTCACGCAGTGCTTACTCCCTTCTTCTCCTCCTCCTTCTCTACCTAGCTTCTGCCCCGCCTTCTCCCCTTCTTCCTTCTCACAGCTTCTCCCTTCTCCCCATCCTCTCCCAGCTCTCTTCTCCCCCTCCTCCCTTTCCTCCTTCTCCACCAGCTTCTCCCCTCCTCCTTCTCTACCAGCTTCTCCCCCTCCTCCACCAATTCCTCCCTTCTCCCCCTTCCTCCTTCTTCACCAGCTTCTCCCCTCCTTTACCCACCTTCTCTTCTTCTCCCCCTCCTTCTCACCAGCTTCTCCCCCTCCTCCTTCTCCAACACCTTCTCCCTTCTCCCTCCTCCTTCTCCACCAGCTTCTCCCTCCTCTTCTCCACACCTTTCTTTCTCCCTTCCTTCTCTCCCTTCCTCCTTTCTCCGCCACCTTCTCCCTTCTCTCCTTTCCTCTTCTCCACCAGCTTTCCCCCCTCCTCCTTCTCACCAGCCTTCTCCCTCCTCCTTCTCCCACCACTCCCTTCTCCCCTTTCTCCTTTTCACCAGCTTCTCCCTCTCCACCCCTTCTCCTTTCTCCCCCTCTCATCCACCAGCTCCCTTCTCCCCCTCTTGTATCCCCTCCTCCTTCTCCCCTCCTCCTCCACCAGCTCCCTCCCCCTCCTTCGCTCCTTCTTCTTCTCCACCAGCTTCTCCCCTTCTTCCACTACCTTTCTCCTTCTCCTCCTCCTCACCACCTTCTCCCTTCTCCCCCTCCTCCACCACCTTCTCCCTCTCCCCCTCCTTCCTCTCACCAGCTTCTCCCCGCCTCTTCTTCCACCACCTTCTCCCTTCTCCCCTCTCCTTCTCCCAGCTTCTCTCCCTCCTTCATTCTCCAGTCTCACCAGCTTCTCCCTTCTCCCCCTCCTCCTCCACCAGCTCCCTTCTCCCCCTCCTTCTCCCTTTCCTCCTTCTCCACCAGCTTCTCCCCTCCTCCTTCTCCACCAGCTTCTCCCCTCCTCACCCCTTCTCCCCCTCTCCTTCTCACCAGCTTCTCCCTCTTCTCCCCACCTCTCTTCTCACCCTCCTCCTTCTCCACCAGCTTTCCCCTTCCTCCTTCCCAACACCTTCTCCCTTCTCCCCTCCTCCTCCACCAGCTTCTTCCCTCTCCTCTCCACCACCTGCTTCCTTCTCCCCTTCCTCCTTCTCCACCAGCTTCTCCCTTCCTCCTTCTCCACCAGCTTCTCCCTTCCTCCTTCTCCACCACCTTCTCCCTTCTCCCCTTCCTCATTCCTAGCCATATTGAGTCGGCCATACGGCCGCCGTGCGTATAGCCATATTGAATCTTATCCACACGGCCGCCGTGCGTATAGCCATATTGAATCTTATCCACACGGCCGCCGTGCGTATAGCCATATTGAGTCCGCCACACAGCCGCCGTGCTTATAGTCTCGGCCGGTTATATTAGTTAAATACAGAGTATTGTGATACATAGTAAGTTCCAAGATAGCGGAGAAAGGTTCGTGTTGAGAATAAACCCAGTTTGGAAGTTCTAGTTTCTGAAAACGCACCAGCAAACCGCCCTGAGTGCCGCCCTGAGTGATTCACTCAGGGGTTCCCTGAACTTCCTCCACAGAAAACCATAGCGACGCGTTGTAACCCTATCCTGGGTTTGTGTTACATTATTGTATCTAGGATAGGATGTGATACTGATAGGATGATGTTTATTACTGGACATGCTCTCTATCCTAGAGCCAGTAGTACTACTACTACTACTAGTACTACTACTAGTACTAGTCTGTCCTACTAGTACGTCGCCGGCAAACCCGACTCATGTGTCAAGTTTACCCGCCTGGAGGTTGGCCAGCTTGGCTCATGGGTCAAGATGATCTGCCTGGAGATCGGGCAGCTCGACTCGGACTAAATGCAGACTGTTGATTGTTTAATTGTGATTTATTATGATTATCATGCTCTACACATAAAAGGTTAAATGACTCTTTTCAATTTCAGTACATGTATTTGTATTTTGAATTATATGAAATAAAGATTTAATAATAATAATGGACATTTCGACGTCAGAACGTGTGAAACATCTGCCATGAATTAACCGGCAAGTCGAGCTGCCCGATCTCCAGGAGGGTCGATCATCTCCACCCATGAGCCGAGCTAACTGACCTGCAGGAAGTTAAATTCACGACAATGCAAGACGAATTGGCGGGTGGGTCGAGTTAACTGGTGCCCCCTAGTAGTAGTACTAGTGGTATTACAGCCCTTGTTGCCACAGGGTAATTAACCAAGTCCAGCATGGCCTGTGGCAACAACAAGAGCTATAGTGCTACAGCTAGGTGAGAATGGTGACCACGGCATTCATAGACCAGTCTTTAAGTGAAAGATGTCAAGAAATTACAGGCACTTGGAGCGTTTTAATAATAAAAATATGGTAAATAAACACAAAATGTGTTTACTACCAAAGTCTCAATGTTTATGTAGTCTCTAGCAACTAGTAATCCCACATAAATGCAATTCAAATGCTCTGCAGCACACATTTTCTCTGCACGTAAACTCACAGAAAGATAGAGCAGGTGGGAAAGCGTGAGCACCCAATTCACACAACACTCACTTCATTTCAGACCACAGATAATACACAAATGACTGCCTCCATTCTGATATCTATGCGTAGTCCAATGTTTACTTGTTTGAAGTAAAATTTGCATTTTGGTACCACACACTTTACCCAGGGAAATCTGGTAAATTTGTGAGGCAATGTAATTGGGAGCAAGTGCCTGTTTCTTATTTGAAACGCACGTTAACTACAGAAGCCAATGAACGTAGTTGTGTGTGTGTGTGTCTGACATCATTTCTGCGCGAGTTAAGCTGGCTTAGCCTGGAAGTGAGTGACAAGGCTTGTCTTGGAGCTCGGAATCAGGGAGCGCTCAAACCCCAAATGCAATTCGTCGCCATTACTCATGTTTAAACGATCAGTTGCATCCATTTACATTGACGTGGAGCGGATGTTTTCCTTAGGAATTTACCAGATTTCTCTAGGTAAAGAATGTGGTACAAAATTGCAAGAGTTATAATTCGAATGAGTGAACATTTGGCTCGGCATAGATACCAGAATGGAGGCAGTTGTTTGTGTAATTTATCTGTGATTGTGTGAAACGATATTGTGCAAATTTGGCCAACCTGCTCTCTTTCTGTGAGTTTGTGCACAGTTGGGTGTGCGTGCAGTGAAATTGTGTGTTGCAGAGGAGCATTTAACCAGTATTTACTTGGTATTATTGGTCGATAGAGAATACATTTTTTAACATTAAGACACATTTCATACATTTCATGTTTATTTACAATCACGTTATTATTGAAACGTTTCAAGTGCCTGTACAAGAAATGGTGCTCAGTAAACTGTCTTTCTGGTTTGTCTGTCTGTCCCCCTGCCTCCCTCCCTTCCCTCCCTCCCTCCCTCCCTCCCTCCCTCCCTCCCTCCCTCCCTCCCTCCCTCTCTCCCTCCATCCCTTCTTACCTTTGTCCCTCCCTCCCTCTCTCTCTCCCTCTCTCTGTCTGTTTGTCTCTCTGTCTGTCTCTCTGTCTGTCTGTCTCTCTGCCTGCTCTCCCCCTCCCTCGCTATCTATCTATCTCCCTCTCTTCCCCTCTTCCCTCCTCTCTCTCTGTCTCTCTCATTCTCGCTTCGAGCACAATTGGATTTGTAAGTTAATATGTTGCAGATATTTTGTCCTAGAAATTGTCCACCCACTGCACGCCAGTACACATCGTAGTGTACAGGAGCAGAAGCTTACAAGTCAAGAAGTCTACCATTCACTGAAAGAGGAAGTGCATAAAAGTCATGGAGACTATGGCTCTGCAGCATTTAGCATATCCTGCAATGGTAAAAGCCCCCTATGGCAACATTAAATACTTCAGAGCTAAGACTAATAAAAATGGATATATGAATATTGTTATTTTTATGAGAATGCAAAGAAGCATTCATGATGGTAAATGATATATAATAACTTAGCAAGATGGCGAAAAACAGAATTTCTAATATAATCAGTATTTGATGTGCACTAAGACAATTTACTATATTTTGCAGTGAAGTATTTAAACCCCTATACCAATACCATCTTTGTTCGGATAAGGAGAGGACCACATAGGTTTTTAGCCACAACCCTTCCATTTATCAAAAAAATTGGTAAACAGGATAATATATTCCTAAATACCCTTTATGTAGGAGGTATGTAATATTTTATATTGTTTGATTTTTAAGTATAATGTTCACATTAATTCCAGTATAATTTGAATTATATATATGTTTTTAAGCATTCTTTGAAGAGATTATTAATTGTGCACTAATTTGTAGAAGTATGTTTTATTAGTATTTCTTTGTGTTTCCATTTATAGCAACTGTACGAAACTGTCACAAATTCTTGCGAAACCACAACAGGCAACAACTAGCAGTTCTTCTGAAGAAAATCACACACCCTGGTGAGTTTTGGTGTAAAAAGATTCAAGTAAGATGAAGAGGATAAAAACGGCATGTGTGTGAGGGGGTGAGACGAGACATAGACAGAGACACAGGCAGAGAGAGAGAGAGAGAGAGAGAGAGAGAGAGAGAGAGAGAGCGAGAGCGAGAGCGAGAGCGAGAGCGAGAGCGAGAGCGAGAGAGACAGAGAGAGAGAGTGTGAGAGAGAGAGAGAGAGAGACAGAGAGGAAGAGAAGGGCGTGGCAAATAATATGTGATTGCAGGATTTTGAGCAGAGAGTATGTCTCTCAGCATTGTTTGCTTCTTGTAAGTTGTTCTATTTCATTTTTAGAGGAGAGAAAGAAGTTACAAACATCTCTACTAAGAGCATGTGTGCTTGAAAACGTGGAAACGTGGAACACCCAAACGCCCATGCAATGAGAAAAATAGAAATTCTGAAGAACTATACTGAAAACAATGCCACTCGCTATTATATTAGCTGGAATATAAACTGAAAAATAAGCAGTACTTTAAAGTGAAAATGGCTGCAACTGTGCGATTGTTTTCTACAAGCCTCAGATATGCCTGTGATCGTAACAGCAAAGCTCTGTTGGTGACTGTGTTGCGATTGCGCAATCTAGCCAGGTTGCAGCAGGTATTCACTGCTGCTACGTGCCTGCAACGCAATGAAGGCAAAGACTTATGGTCTGGTCAAAATTCTGTTCAGTGTTTACCAAAAAATAATCATGTGGCATTTATCAGTGATGTGTCAATAAGCACATCAGCTCTAGAAGGGGAAAGTCAGGGACTACATTCAAATGAAGACTCGACAGATGTTAGAAAACCGCCCCACGTCCCAGTTATGTTGGATGAAGTATTAGAGCTACTGGACCCGAAACTGGGCAAAGTAAGATGTGTACATTTTTGTTAATAGAATTAATTTTATTTAACGAAATTTACGTGTCACCTTTTTTGAATTCAACACACAATTTATAAAGCTTGCCTATTTGAGCCTAAATAATATATAAATGTTTTTCATTCTCACATTTTCATTGAACAGGTGTTGCTAGACATGACGTTTGGGGCTGGTGGGCATACCAAAGCACTGCTACAGCGAGGAGCCAAAGTCGTTGCTCTGGATAGAGATCCGGTTGCCAACAAAATGGCACAAAACCTGGCCTTGCAATATGGGTAGATAGGTTGAGAATGCATAGCCAGATTACTCGGATATTTGTCTATTTATTATAAGCTGTCTTTGTGTGTTTATTAAAATCGATGTATTTGTTATGCTAAGATTTTGTGATATTTTTCGTGAAGGCATTTGATGGCGGTTCTTCTCTAGAGACATGCTGACACCGTTGCTGGGAAGGTTTTCTGAGCTTGCTGAGTTGATGGCTGAGAAGAACATTAAGGAGCAGAGCTTTGATGGGATACTGCTGGACGCTGGCTGCTCGTCAATGCAGATGGACACTGGTCAGCGAGGCTTCTCGATCAGCCATGATGGACCCCTCGACATGCGCATGGATTGCAATAGGTATGTGAAGTCTACCTGCTAGTCATGGGGACATTCTGAATGTGACTATATCGTTATTTCACCATGGCAACTGCAGGTTTTATATCCACACTATAATGAGCTTTAAAATATATTGTCTCCTTTTTATCAACACCACCTGTATTATTGTGATGTAGGGACTTGAAGCAGCCCACAGCATACGATGTAGTTAACCACATGGAGGAGGTCGATCTGGCAAAAATACTCAAGCGCTATGGAGAAGAAAGGCAGGCCAAATGCATAGCAAAGGCCATTGCAGAGACACGCCTATCCTTCGGACTTATCACAACAACCGGTCAGCTAGCAGATGTCGTTGCTAGCGCTACAAGGAGGTGAGAAATCTTGCAAGTTTGCAAATAAATGTAGCAACTTAGCAACTTTGGCTTATTAGTGAATGAAGAGATGCTCCTGTGAAAATATGTATATATATCCATTATCCATACAAACTATACATGTATAAATATGTTTCTGGTCTCCGTGAATAGAGAGATGGTTTAATTAATAATTTGCTAATAATTAATAATCTGCTAATAATTAATAATCTGTACTGCATTGTGGCATTAATGTTTGAGTGTCTTGGGTTTTTAACAATTTATACCTAAAAATGTGTTGCTTGTTTGCAGTGATCATGGATTGGACATGATCCAGCGATACAACCATTCTGCAACCAAGACATTCATGGCAATTCGCATATTCGTTAACAACGAGTTAAATGAACTGTTCAATGCGGTCACGCTGGCACATCGCTATCTGCGACCTGGTGGAAAATTTGTTGCCATGACGTTCCACTCGTTGGAGGACCGTGTCGTGAAGCGACATCTGCACGGGATCGATATCGATGAGAAGGTGCTGATTACCCATACGATTGTCAACAACTTACTATGGAGAAAATGTATTGTCTTCTTGCATTAATACTTCAGAGATTATAATATAGCAACTAACCTGGTGTTACTGTTGATCATTATGTATGGATTGCAGGCAACTTATTAATATTCTTGGTTGTACTATTTTGCTTCGATATGTGATATGGCAATTTTGATTACCATTTCAGTTTAGTCCAACAATGAGCGCCAAGTATCGCAACTCAAACTTGTGGCACTCCGACGAAATGATGAAATGTTGTGCAGACACACGCATGTGGGATGTCCAGCGGAAGAAGGTGATAACTCCAACTGAAGAAGAAGTACACCATAACCCACGCAGTAGATCAGCCAAGCTGCGATTTGCAATGAAGATGTGACACCAAATTAGTTGACGATTTTAATTTGTTTGCCAACTTGAATAATATTGCCTGTCTATGTTTACATGGACTACGTACACATTGTTGTTTGATGGCGGGCAGAGAGTTAGCTGTGGCACAGTTAGTTAGGTGAGCCCTTTATCTAAAAGCGAGGCTAATATGAGGTAGGAGTGTGACATAGCAGAGCAGTGTTGAGAGAGAGATAGTGTGTGCAAGAAGCCGAGGGATGAGGTACGGTCCTACAACCGGATAGGGTGAGATCAAATAAGAACAGAGCTACCCACAGGTAGATAAAAAGCAGGTATGGAAACACTGTGTATATAAATTTCCCAGGCATTGAATGCAAGCCAGTAAAATGAGTGTGCAGCTCTGAAGTTTTGCACCTCTGTGCAGATAGATTATAGACATCGCTAGGACCATATACCCACTGGCAGTTCGTTCGGAAACCATGGGGAAAGTGTCGTATATTGATAAGAAGCGAGGCCCGGAACATGGATTGCTGATTGTGGATCTGTCGGTACTTCGATGTGAAGTATAAAAGTAATAGAAGAGGGATCAAATTCTAGCTCGATAGCTGGTTTATTGTTATGTTTAGAACTCCATGGTGGTCACTACTTACTGTACATTCGGTAGTTTATGTGGTACAATTACGTATGTATAAAACATGTGGTCATTATTAGTAAACAAAACCACTTTGAGCCACTTTCTATTAGGGCAAGTATTCTGTAAAATGTGCATGCCCGAATGACATTCTATAGTTGCCCATATATTTTGCAAGAATATATTTGGAATATCGAGTAAAGAAGTGTACACCAGACAACTTTTAGATGCCATGCATTCGTTTCCGGTGTTAGAATTTCGTCATTTTAAAGTAAAAACCTTTAGTTAATGGCCAGTTATTTACCTGGATATTTACCTGGATGCCACTTGTCTTCTGACAAGTGGCTGGGGGTTAGGAAGCTCAACGCTTACGTAAAACCCTTGTGCGCAAAAATGTGTGAAAAGTTAATTATAATTTATGCATTATTTAAGCAGGAGCCCATTGGGCAAGTGAGCTTGTGATGTTTACATGTCTGCTGAGATGTCTACATGTCTCGGGCGTCGGACGCCCGGCTAAATTCGAAGACTGAATGTCTCAAATGTTTATCTGTGATTATTAATAAACTTGGTTGTTAGTGTCTCATATTTATATTATTATTTGTATAATTATTACGGTGTACTCTCTCTATGACGTATGTAATCGAAGGGGTGATTTTCTTATGCGATTCAATTTTTTCAGTATGGTTGGTTCAGACTAAATCTTATTGTCTGCGCCCACAGGGAGTGGTTTTTGGTGTGTATACACAGCTTTGGCTTTGGGTTCATAGTGTTTTTTACAATTTTTGCATATTACCAGATCTGATATATTGTCTTTGTCCATTGGTTTTAACCATTTGTGACGAAAGACTTATGCTAGGTTCCAGCACCACTTGATTTATGCAAAATTGATTTATGTTTTGTCTGGTGCCGTGTTCGATCCGCGCCAATTCACTGTGGTATTTCTCGCTGCCATATAACATATATATAAATATATGCATAGCGAGCGAAACAAAGAAAACATAGCATATAAAGAGAGTGTGTAATCAAGAAATTAAGGACTAAATACTGAGTAAAAACCACTATTGACGTTGATGATACTAATAAACTTTAGTTATATGATAATAAAAATAATTTATAGCTATTCTTGTAGGCTACAAATTAGTAATTATTTCAAATAAAAAAATTCTTTTCAATATTTTATGGAAAAAAATCCGTAATCTAACATTTATTATTCATCGCGTTCAATTGTTTGCATGCTCTCACGTGATCAATTTGACGTCATAGCTGTTGACCCTCCGCCATTTCACTATTTCGACGCGTAAAATTGTTGATATCTGGGGAGCGAGCTAGAGTAGGAAGACTGCACGTTCATGTTCAGATCTTCATCGCAGTATAGGTCAGTATTTGTATGATTTAGCTGTAATATATAATGTAACGTTTCCATAATATAGTAATGTGAAGAGGTAAAACAATTGCTGATCTTGAGCCTCCCTCTGTTTGTGTTTCGTCGATGCCGCTATAATTTAATGTTTGTTGCGTTTTGACCGCGGCCCACTCTAGGATAAATGGGTAGAGCACAGGCACTTGGACCTTTTCAATAATAAAATGATGGTTAATGTTTGATTTGACCTAATAACTTCACTTCAACCCGTCTCCAGTATTAGTAAATATAGTAATACTAAGACCAATGGGGACGTAAAAGAACCACTGAGGGCGCAAAAAAACTCTGGCTGTGACCACCCTCAGTGCCATTCGGCTAAAAAAAGGCTAACTACCTGGCTGTACCCAAGCTAGGTCACACACACCATGGCTAGCTATAGCCCTGGACGTTTATTCCTTAGGGACTGTCCAGTATAGAAGTAGAAGTAGAAGTAGAAGTTCAATACACCGCTGCAACACATAGCCCGCACACAGGCACTTGAAACGTTTCAATAAAATATAAATGCTAAATAAATACGAAATCTAATACTACTACTAGTACTACAAAATTCTTAATGTTTCTCTACTCTCTTTCACCTATTATTGCCGACAGTTTCCTGTCAATTCCGTGTAAATGTTCTATGCACACACACTACCGCCGCCATTGCTCACTGTGCACAGTCACTGTTAATATATATATTAACAGTGACTGTGCACAGTGAGCAATGGCGGCGGTAGTGTGTGTGCATAGAACATTTACACGGAATTGACAGGAAACTGTCGGCAATAATAGGTGAAAGAGAGTATAGAAACATTAAGAATTTTGTAGTACTAGTATTAGATTTCGTATTTATTTAGCATTTATATTTTATTGAAACGTTTCAAGTGCCTGTGAGCCCGCACGCCATTGTGCATGCACAAATACACAGTAGGTTAGAGAAGGTAAGAAAGCGTTTTCACAGAAATTCCAGAACGCTCCACTTTTGTCGCAGCACTAGACAAGAAATAAACGTCCAAACGCCATGATATTGGCATCTGTGTGTAGCTGAATGATCACTTGTTCGAAATATACGTTTTGCAACTTGGTACCACATACTTTACCCAGAATTATATGAGAAATCCTGCTCAAATTTGCCGCAAATTTCCCATGAAGCCGATTTGTAAACCGGACAAGTACATGAGCAATGGCGGCGCATTGCATTCTGGGAGCAATTCTACTGCAATTTTGCTCCCAGAATGCAATGCGCCGCCATTGCTCATGTACTTGTCCGGTTTACAAATCGGCTTCATGGGAAATTTGCGGCAAATTTGAAGTGTACGTGTTACATATGCTTGACCAAAATTGCACATCGAAATGAGTATGGACGGTAATTTAGGCGCAATGTGATTTTTAAATAAAAGCAATCCTGAACAACTGGCCATTGTTTGGAATAGAAACTGTAACTTTGATGCTTTAACTATGGTTTATTAGCACAACTGCTGCTTGCTGCCCGGCTTGCTTGCAAACCTTGCTATAATCATTGATCATATTCATACTCTTGCGTTGACCATTCATCCGAGCATGTGCTTAATAACTTCTAATTAATGTTGCATATATATATTGACTACAGTTGGCTTAGGTGTTGAAATGTACCTTGTTATGTTATTGAAATCTCCTTGCTTAACTCATTAAATATGTTCATTCGGTTGGTACTAAAACTAATATATATAACACTAACAGGGTTAATTTTTACTCAACCGTGAAGATTGGAAACGTACTGCTTACGTTTCGCCTCCTGCCAGGAGGCTTTCTCAAAGCAAACTGATGATAATCAGTTTTGACCACCAGATGGTGTAGTGGTCAATATTGACAATCATCAGTTAGCTTTGAGAAAGCCTCTTGGCAGGAGGCGAAACTTAAGCTAGAAAATGGCGATAAAGAGGTAACTCATGTAATTATTCTGAATTTAGTTAAAACTTTATGTACCTATTAAGGTATGTCATATATATAGTAAGTTGTTTGGTTATGATAAGCTGCTCAGATGGGCATCTTGCAGGAAAGAAAACCAAGTTTCTAGTACTGTGTACTGTATTACTGTAGGCCAGTGTAAATAATCATCTGGCATATCAGCTGTAGCCCTCTCCCCCCATCTACAGTCACGAATGGAATGATGTTTTGACTCGAGTGTAGATAGTGCATCTCGGTGGGCGTGTGAGGAACCCGGGATTTTTATTTGTTAGGCTGAGCAGTACTAATCGCCCTGCGTCCACGGCTATCTGTACCAAGCGGTGCAGCGATGTCCCAATCAGTTTTCCTACGAGTGAACTTGGATGGAAATAGCTGTTTGTGTGGGGTGGGGGGGGGCATACGTGCGTACGTGCATGGTACGGGTGCATATGTGTGTGTGTGTTTGTGTGCATGCATGGAACACTGGCAGCAAGAACAAGTCGGCACCTGCATCTACAGCACACACGCGGCCATTGACTATATATAACAACATGGTGCCTAACTCGCCGCCATAGTCCGCGATCGCGGAAGACTTCTGAACAAGCTACACCCGCCATTTTTGACAATCGGCCCGCCAGAATGCGTTCAAATCACAGAAATTCCTCAAATATCTATGCGAAACCATCCTTCGAATGCTACCAGGCAAAAGGGCGGCATGCCCAACTGCTGGCGGCTGCGCTGATTGGCTGCAGCAAGTTTAACGTGCAGACAGGCTGCGCAACTACGTTTGTTGACATCGCGGGTGAGTCATGGCCAATCAGCGCAGCCGCCAGCAGTTGGGCATGCCGCCCTTTTGCGTGGTAGCATTCGAAGGATGGTGTCGCATGGATATTTGAGGAATTACTGTGATTTGAGCGCATTCTGGCGGGCCGATTGTCAAAAATGGCGGGTGTAGCTTGTTCAGCAGTCTTCCGCGATTCCAACGATAGTTGGAAAGTGGCGTCACCTGCAGGAACACCAGAGTTATAACTGATTGAAAATGGTGAGTTGTGGAAACTGCGGCGGCGAGTTAGGCACCATGTTGTTATATATAGTCAATGGCCGCGTGTGTGCTGTAGCTGCAGGTGCCGACTTGTTCTTGCTGCCAGTGGCATGGAAGTGTACGTGTGTTTTACTGTGCGCGTGCGCGCGCGTTTTTGTGTGTGCGTGTGCGCTCGCACGTGTGTTCATGCATGCATCAGTGTGTGTTTGTGTGTGTGTGTGTGTGTGCGTGCGTGCGTGCGTGTGTGCGTTGGTGTGTGTGTGTGCATGCATTGGTGTGTGTGGGTGTGTGTGTGTGTTTGTGATGTGGGAACTAGCTAATCTTGAGTGTACTGTTCATTCTAGCTGCCTGCACCAGCACCGGGGCGACTGCTGCTGCTGCTGCTGCTGCGATGCGACGAGAGGTTTAGACAGTTTGTTGGCATCGCGCTCTGTACCGAGTCACGCCGGCCAGCCAGCCCACACCTCCGACACGCTAACTCATCAGTGAGCTTCCCTAGGTATCTCATTTAGCCGTGTATTTCTGCAACAGTGTTCTGCTGTTTGTGTGTGTACATGTGTGTAGGTTCTTATGTGCGTAGGTGTGTGTGTGTGTGTGCGTGCGTGCATGTGTAAGTACCTATTTACGTGTACCTGTGTATGTCAGGTTACACAAATATATAGCGATGAGTTGCATTCCCTTTTCAAACTAATAGAAAATGTGCGTGGCTCCAGATGTAGAACGGATGCTGAGCAATGCAGCAAGCATCCCCGTCTCAGCTCAGGCTTCATGACGATTCTATTCATTGAACTGGTTGTTGTTGTTAATATTCAATAGAATCCTGCAAGGAAATGTAACAGTGCACGTGCGTAATTAGTGTTAAAAGTTGTTTACTTAGAAATTACTCGCGCGCACAATTAATACAGATAGGTGGTCGCGCCTACACGCCTGCAGCCTGCAATCCTGCAAGGAAATTCTCCACTTTCCCGGAATCACAGGCAGCTCTAGCCAATCACTGCTGCGCTCGAATGTTCTGAAATTAATGCTCGGTAACGAATGTGTCCCCAAGGTCACCAAGGCAACACAGTCTCATCACACGCACGCCACTGTGCGCAAACACACAGAAAGATAAAGCACAAGCTCACAGATAGATGGAATTTGTGCTTTTATCTGTCTGTGCGTCTGTGCATACTGGCGTGCGTGCGGTGAGACTGTGTTGCGGAGGAGCATTTGAACAGCATTTACGTGGAATTACGAGGGCGATAGTCGCGATAGAGATTACATAATCACGAAGACTAGTAGCAAATAGAATTTGTGTTTACCTACAATCGTATCATTGTTTAAACAGCCATAGAGCGTGTGGTGTTAGCTGATGCATTTGCACGTTGTAGACCCTGCTCTGTGTGTGCGTGGGTGGGTGTTTATGCACCCCCTCCCTCTGCGTGCGCGTGCACTGGCATTCAGCCCAGTTTGGGCCAGAATTAAAAAAATATTTGTTTGCCCTCACGTGACCCAGGCTGAAAAGTTTGGGTAGGTAAGCTTTTTATTTTTTGTTGAGGGGGGTCTTTTTACAAATTCAGCATGGTGTCTACATGCTCGGGTGTGCTTGTGTGGAGATACCTTTTATGTTGAATGTTTCTTTTGCTTGGTACAAATAATGTATTGCCTACAGATTTATATAATGTACAATGATACAATTTGTAAAAAAAAAGAATGGGAAAGATCCTAAAAAAAATTGAGTCGGGCCCCTTTTTTGCGAGTCGGTCAGGTGAGGGCAAACAAACAATATTTGTATTATGGCCTTGGAGCGGCTTCGCAGTGGAGTGCTCTAGATGTGGCAGGATGTGGTCGACGTCCACGCATCCCGGATAGTGGGGCTGGTGGGCAAACGCGCGCTCCTAATCCTATTGGGTAGCCCTGCAGTGTTGTTGTTATCATGCAGGGAGTGAGAGGATGCGAGCTGCGTTAACGCTAGCTCTACCACTATAGCCCACTGAACATATATATATATATATATATATGGTCATGGTCATATATTAGTTTGTGGTTTAATGTCATTTAGGTTAGGGTTAGGATTATCAATCATTAATCATTAATCATTAATGATATCAAAATTGGGAACACTCCTAATGGAGCGTTAGCCCTAAGAGGGAGGGAGTAGAGCTAGGTTAGCGCCAACGCGGCGGTGTGTGTTTAGTGTTGTAGCTATGCGATTGTGCGTGCGTGCGTGCATCATCATGCATGCGTGTGGCGTGACTTGCAGGTCTATCACATCAAATATCACTGCTAGGCGTTCGATTTTCTAAATGATATATAACGCATTTATCCAGTACAGTTGTGTGTTCATACATGGTGTGGTCACTGTGGTACGCACGAGGCCGTCTCTGGCAGCTTTGTATTTGGCTAACATTAGCCTGTGTTGACGAAATGAAAGCTTATTTTTCAGGTTCTGTTGTTCAAAGTTCAGCTTGTATTCTATTCGATCAGCGTCGCTGTGATTTTCTGCTATAAAATCGAAGTAGCTAGTGTGACAATGTTCAGCTGGGAAGAGCTGCTGAGCCAGTTGCCGGGGGTCCGGTGTCGTACTGGGGGGGGGGGTAGCGGGTGACCCACATTCCTGTGTGCGGCGAATCGTGCGATTGTGAGCATTAGGGTTTGCACTGGTTGTGCGTGCTGGCGTGTGTACGTGCGGGCGTCTGTGCGTGCGTGCGGGTGTGCGTGCGGGTGTATGTACGTGCTTGCGTCTGTGCGTGCGGGTGTATGTGCGTGCGGGTGTATGCGCGTGCTGCTGTATGTGTGTGCTGGCGTGTGTGCGTGTTGGCGTCTGTCACGGTCTGTGCGTGCGGGCGTGTGTGCGTGCATAGCGATGTGATGTAGTTTCACTTTCAGCGCTACGGTGAAGAGGGTTGCAACCTTGTCGAAAAAGTTCGCAGTTGAGTGCCCGTCTGGCTGGCTGCTTAAATCCGTACTCTCATTGGTGGTGCCTTGTGATTTTTTTGCAATCTCAGCACACACGCAGCAGTTCATAGCATTAAAATTAAATACAAAGCTGTCCCACCCTCACTCGCTGAACGTCGCCGCTAGCCGGCTCGGTTTTGTTGTTCTTTCATGCAAGACTGCGTTCGTGCTAGCAACACTCACGCTTTGTACAGCAGACTTCGTAAAGACCAAAGGCACGTTCTAACTCTTTCGCGGTTGTGCTTGCACTGTGTTACGTGACGGCTGTAGAGAGAGCGTTTAAGACACTGGTAATCTCGCAAGGTCGGAGTGCGCGTGTCAGCCAGTCTGCCAGACTAAAAAACACTCGTGCATGCTTATACGGTGAGCAATCTGTGACAACATGGAGCTCAGTGATAACAAAGTGAATACGACTTCAGTGCAATTCGATTCGAATACTAGGAACGTTGTTTCTAACTACCAAGTACAAGTAGTATCAAGTAGTAGCAGAACTACTTGTGTAGGTACTATCTCTACCTGTGGTTATACTGGCTCCACCTGTGTAGATACTGACTCTATCTCAGCATCTGTGTACATACTGGCTCCACTTGTGTAGATACTGGCTCCACCTGTGTAGATACTATGTCTACCTTTGTCTAAGGTCTTAAAAGGTAATAATTGGTTTTATAGCATCGATCTGTGGTTTATTGGATTTGGTTGCACACTGACTCAAACCCCGGGGACTCGTTGTCAGATACAAAATTAGTCTTAGCATTACTTTTTCTCATAGACCAGACCTCTATACACACTGCGTATGAGGACATTGTAACTTTACGATGTTTCTATCGCCGTCTATGAGAAAAAGTTATTAACTAGTGTTAATACTAATTTAAAGATTAATTTTGTTTTGACAACAAGCCTGTCCAACTTTATTCACTGTACTACTGGCCTACTGCAGAGCTCTGATAACTGCCAGCATGCAGGGAGGTGTGCTCTGGTTATCTCAGCCGGCTCTATCTAGGTAGCCATGATAATTCCCTACCAGTGACCTCCAGTCACAACTTTCTGCTATTCTGGTCTAACGCTGGGCAGTGGTCAGTTCGCTGACCAGTGGTAAGTCCGGAGGGAGTGGGTTGCATTATGAAATGCAGCTGTTTGGATGTGTGTGCATGTAGTCCGGCTATGCAGCACAAGCACTGGTCAGGGTAACTCGATGCGAATCTGTTGCAGAGTGGTCACTGAACCAAGCCTGCTAGTCATGTATATAAAGCCTAGACCCTGGTGGGTTCTTTACTGCCTAATATGATAGCGGTGCTAGCCAGTGGCTAGTGAGGGTCCTAACCTGGCCAGTGACCCTTGTAGAGTGGACAGTGCTGTATGAACATGCGCGCATGTGACCTGAATTTAACCCGAATTGAACGGATTCTAGGGGAAGCTTGATACATGACTGACAAGTTACAGTCATTGCTGTTGGCTTTTGAACCCCGTTTTATTTCATAATTTAGTTCTCTTGACGTTTGAAATGGGAGGGAATCTCTCAAAAATCTCCAATTAAAAATATGAGGATTTGCTATTGCCATGAATTTGTAATTTGTTTAACAACTCTCTAGGCTGAAAAGTTATGACATTATGATAATCTCATGCAAATTTGTGGTTGATCTGATAACTGATATCTGATAACTTTTCTGAGATAAAACTAATACCAAGTATTTTTGTAGTGAGTAGCATACTAGTAGCCTAGTAGTTAGATTTTTTGGGGTATTTTCTTTTCAACCAAGCGGTCACCAGCTGAGTAACGCCACTGATTTCCCCGGGCAACGCCGGGCATCCCGCTATCACATATATATATCTATAAACGTATTTGGTTTTTTTGCAGAGCTTGTGAAACTTTGCAGATGGGATCTGAATCGTGAGAGATGTGAGGGAATGAATGAAATCTTGTAACGTTTTTGGTTTTTGCTGGAAACTTGGATAATAGTGGAATCTGAATAGTGAGGGATGCGAAGAAATGGAATCTTGCCATCGCTTTCATGCAAGCGGTTACCAGCAAACAGTCGTTTATCTGTGAGGTTGCTGTATGTTGATAGAGAGCCATTACATAAAAGGATTTGACGGTGTGCTCAGCATTGATTCCGTGCGCGTAGCCTGAGAGAGAGCGAAGCAGATAGCAAGCAAACTGCAGGCAGCTGCAGCCACTGCAATGTGGCTTCAGTACAGCTTCCTCATGATCATGAACTACTGTTAACACGTATCATGTGTTCAGTCTGAGGCCATCCTTAAAAAATTATATGTTTGCTGTCCTCTGACCGACCCACGAAAATAGCCGCAACCCAAAAGTTTTTTTTGCCAGACAAAGACTGAAACACAAAGCATGTGTTGCAAACATGAGGACAGACTTAAAATAACTATTATGCCTCGCAAAAAAAAAGAAGACCTACCTACCTACCCACTAAAAATCATGAGTCGGGGGACAGCAAACATAATTTTTTAAGGATGGCCTGACGAGTAGAGAAGTGCGAGGCGTGATTGATCGAGGGGGCAAAGATGGGTCGCAAGCTCGCAGCGCTGATTCATATTTAGATACGTGTGGTGACAAATTTTTCCGTGTTTGTACGCGTGTCATTGCATTTATAAGGGTGCGCGTACGTGTGCAGCAATGGATGTACGGTTGATGCTGGGGTGATACCTATAGCATGGTTCGCACAGTCCTTGAAAAGTCCTTGAATTTGAGGGGAGTCCTTGAAAAGTACTTGAATTTAGTAAATGTTGATTTTGTGCTTGAAAAGTGCTTGAATTGCATGAAAATGTCCTTGAATTTTTAGAAAGAATCCTTGCCTGTAATAAAAAGAAATTTTGTACCATCAATAATGTGCAAACCTCAATAAAAATTGCATTAAATGAGCATAAAAAGCTATAGACACGATAGACAGTTAAATGATGATCACAAATTACAGTAAGTCAGTAAAATCAGTCAGTAAATCAAGGTATGTTGTAGAAGTTACAAGGGTTTATTAATGTGATCCAGGTAAGTTTTAGAGGTGACATGCAGTGATTAAGAATGGGGTTATTAAATTAATCCAGGTATGTTTTGTTCTGTGTATGAATTCCGATAAAATGTCTGATAAAATGTCCTTGAATTTCCGATAAAATGTCCTTGAATTTCCGATAAAATGTCATTGAAAAGTCCTTGAAAAGTCCTTGGAAAAAATTTCAGTCCTCCTGTATGAACCATGTATAGCCTCACAACCAGCTGCCACCATGGTCTGTAACATCAGTATTTATATGACAGCTGTTGAAATTATGAGGAAACAGAGATCTATGCTGTCTATGGTGTTCCACCTTA